TTGCTTTGCTCTCTCCCCCCTTTCCCCCCCCCAGTTTATCATGGAATTGATGCAGCTCCAAAAGGTGCTTCCATAACCAGCAGATGACAACATTTCTACCGCCCTATTAGCATTTTGCAAACAGGGACCGTAGTTTCCCTTTGATGCATCCTTAAACCCGCCTCCGAGGGGGATACATTTCAGCAGAGGCACATTTTATTAGAGAAAAGGAATTGAAGCAGCTTTACACAATGACTTCAATTACAGTTCAGTAATACAATCAATGCTAAGATCTTATTTTCTATATTCAAACCATGAACTCATCTATTCTATTCAATGTCTACAGGGGAATCTACTAACCATGCAGACAAATACTGTAGGATTAAAACCTATACGCATATATACAACTCCACTCTTGCGGAGTTTATGGGTTTCTAACAAAATTAAGTATAGAAAATACTAAATTAAGTGAAAAACCATTTTTGGCAGCAGTGCGGTGACATTTTGACTGCATCCTTGTGGTAGCACTCAGAGTTCCAAGTAATAGTTTACCTAGATTCACTTCATTTAAAACATTACCTCTGTGTGTGAAATATGCCCGAAGATATTAAAAACAGTGCCGAAATGGAAAACCATAATTATATTAAATGATTACGGTAAGTGATGGTTTGCCCGTGACATGGTCGTGTTCTGTAATTTATCTCTGGGAACTGAGCACAGAATCACTGATCTGTTTTGCCACAGTGAAGTAAAGGACCACTTTACTTCAGCCGAGTAATTCCTAGAAGTAAAATTACAGGTAAGTTCCTAGGGCAGCCCTTTGAAAATATTGGCCCTCTGATTCACAGTTATTTAGGAGAATAATATATCAAACCTGCAAAATGTGGTATAATGCAGTTTGAGACGAGCAAAGTCTGCAGCAGAGACACTCCTGTGCCCCCCGACACATCTGTGACCCGTGTGTGGCAGGGATTATAACCAGAGGAAGGGCTCACACACTGGAAAAATCATTCTGGTTTTCCAGCTCTGTTAGCTTCTCTAATGCAAGATGTTCTTCCTCCAAACCTTGCCTCAGGAAAAATCATTTACTTCAAGAAGAAACATCCCTAGACAAGTTCATACAGATCTCCCGGAGGCAAAGCCCGTCAAAATTAATAACTTGCACTGCAGGAGTTGTGGCACCCGGCTATCACACCAAACACCTTTGGAGTCTGCTCAGCAAGTGTGTCCCTTCCACAGGGCCGGTCGCAGTCATCCACAGATGTTCACCTGTGCTTTCACCTGCGTGTGAGTATAACCAGGAACACAACATAAAATGGGTGACTTGCCAGTACCTGTCCCTGCTCCGTCACCTCTGTACTTTTTTCGTTCGGCCTGCTGTCCCTGCGTGTGTTTGAACATACACACACAGGGGAAATGGCTTCAAGCTGGAGGGGAACAGATTTAGACTGGAGATTAGGAGAGGGTTCTTCACTGTGAGGGTGGTGGAGCACTGGAACAGGTTGCCCAGGGAGGTGGTTGAGGCCCCTTCCCTGAAGATATTCAAGGTGAGTCTCGATGAGGCCTGGACAACTCTATGACACCCTTGTCCCCATCCACAAAACCCTCTTCCAGGGACCCTCTCCCACATGGGTTACATTTTGCCTTTGCTTGCAATCACCCTGCATTTAGAATCCTAGAATCGCCCAGGCCGGAAGGGACCTCCAAAGGCCATCTAGTCCGACCTCCCCGCAGTCAGCAGGGACACCCCCAACTAGACCAGGTTGCCCAGGGCCTCGTCGAGCCTCTCCTTGAATATCTCCAGGGAAGGGGCCTCAACCACCTCCCTGGGCAACCTGTTCCAGTGCTCCACCACCCTCACAGTGAAGAACTTTCTCCTAATCTCCAGTCTAAATCTGCTCCCCTCCAGCTTAAAGC